CATTTTTAATGACTTCTCTTGTACTGATTCTCGCCATATTTCTTCGAAGGAGACGAGGTTTCTTTCAGAGGATGTGACTTATGTTTCGACAAATGGAGAGGATGCGATGGATTGTGTTAATTCGGACAATCCAGCAGCAAAACACCCGCTATCGCTCAAAAGCAGGTACTGCGGGCTCTGCATACCGCCACCATGAAATAAGTGAGGTCCTGACCGAGGAACTGAGGGATCTAATGACGCCAGAGGAATTGCAAATTGGAACGGGAAGGTATTACGAGTGAATTCGTCTGCCATTTCAAAACTAAAGTGAACCACATGGTGAGCGCGAGCGACTGAAAATATTTGGCAGTTCACGATTTGCCAGGCACCTGCCACTACCAGCAAGAGGATTGGCTGCGGCATTTACCAGGACAAGTTATACCATCTCGCGAGGTAGTATAACTCTGCAGGAACTTCCGGTCATAAAGGCGAGATAATCCCTTGTTTTTTCATGTGAAAACAGCTTGCATTTTTAACTCGCTTAGCTTAGGACAAGCTGTTTTCACTGAACTACCGGACTTTTCCGACCTTAACAAGTCAAACTTGTCCTAGTGAAAATACAGTCATAATTGGTTAAATAGTCATAGATCGGCTGTGTTTTCACTAGGACAAGTTTAACTAGTTAAAGTCGGAAACGTCCGGAAGTTCAGTGAGAGCAGCTTGTCCTAAGTTAAGCGAGTTAAAAATGGAAGCTGTCTTCACTTGAAAAAACAGGCGATTATCTCGCTTTTATGACCGGAAATTCCTGCTGAGTTATACTACCTCGCGAGATGGTATAACTTGTCCTGGTAAATGACGCAGCCAATCACATTGCCGGTAGTAACAGATGCCTTCCGAATCGTGAACTTCCAAATATTTTCCAGTCGCTCGCGCTCACCTCTTGGTTCACTTTGGTTTTGAAATGGCAGACGAATTCACTCGTAATAATACCTAAATTTGATGAAATCATTAGCTCTTCTCATCAAGGCAGAGCAGAATTCGTCCTTGACATTCCTGGCAGTCCATCAGCCGATCCCAAACGTTAATCCCACGGTTCTCTACGAATTTCCAGTAGCTAATCTCCACAGAGCAAAAGCCACCCGCTTCTCCACGGTGATTGCTTTCCGAAGAATTGTATTCTGCCGCATTAACTGAGGGCCAACGAGACCACAAATGTATTCGAATGTATCCCTACTTACCCTGCAGTGCTCGCCATAGATGATCTTGATGTCGGTTTAAAACTAGAGGAGCTGTTCAAACCAAAACTGTAGTCTTGGATAAACCAACACTGTCTTGTGCTTACGACGGTAGCGGGTGTTTTGCTGCTGTATTGTCCGGATTAACACAATCCGTCGCATCCTCTCCATTTGTCGAGACATTAGTCGCATCCTCTGAAAGAAACGTCGTCTCCTTTGAAGAAATATGGCGAGAATCAGTACAAGAGAAGTCATTAAAAATGTTTCATCTCCCGCCATTTTTCAAAGTTGCGCGCTTTTGTAATTTGAATCTTCTGAGTAAACGGCTTAAACTTCACAGTGAGAACAGATGTCAAGTTTAACTAGTAAATGTCGGTCTGTAAACAAACACCCAGAAAGAATGTTCAGCTAGTTAATCGGCATAATGAAAACACAGCCATCATACACACCAAATTCGGAGGAAATCGGAAGTAACGCATTACCATACGAGTCACCGGAAGTTATCGTCGTAATTACGACGATAATTGCAGGGGCTGCCGGTATAGGTTAATCCATAAGGAAATTACCATTCACCGAGCTAACGATACCACTAAGATTTATTCCTTCTTTTCGAAACCTGTCCTCGCTAGATGCCTTGTTTCGCAAGGTATCTACCAATCGGCCGATATTGGTAATTTGCGCAACAAGGCATCTAGCGAGAACAGTCTTTGAAGAGAGAGAATAATTTCTTGTCGCGTCTGGAAGCAAGTATTTGCTTTATCTAACAAGATAATGTTCGGGAGCAGAGCACCTAAAGAAATTGTCTTTGAACCTTGTTTCGTTTCGTTTCGAAAAATACCATAAGCCGGCCGTTATTGATGTTCTGCGAAACAAGGCATCTAGCGAGAACAGTTTTCGAAGAGAGGGAATAGTTTCTTGTCGCGTCTGTAAGCAAGTATTTGCTTTATCTAACAAGATAATTTTCGGGAGCAGAGCGCCTAAAGAAATTGTCTTTGAACCTTGTTTCGTTTCGTTTCGTTTCGAAAAATACCATAAGCCGGCCGTTATTGATATTCTGCGAAACAAGGCATCTAGCGAGAACAGTTTTCGAAGAGAGGGAATAGTTTCTTGTCGCGTCTGTAAGCAAGTATTTGCTTTATCTAACAAGATAATTTTCGGGAGCAGAGCGCCTAAAGAAATTGTCTGCGAACCTTGTTTCGTCGATTACCAATCGGCCGTTATTGGTATTTTGCGAAACAAGGCATCTAGCGAGGACAGGTTTCGAAGAGAAGGAATAAATCTTCGTAGTATCGTTACCTCGGTGAACGGTAATTTCCTTATCGATTAATGCTTCGTTTCGTTTAGTTTCGTTCCGCAAAATACCGTAAGCCTATAACACGTACATAGAATGCATCACTTGATTGGTCAATCTGCCTTTGAAATCTATGTCCAATGGGACTATAAAGTACCACTTTAAAATAACTACTTTTAACTGATTTGATTGCTTGTTCAGTAAAATTAGCTGTTGGTTTTATTGGTAAATAAGTTCAAAAATAGAATTTATACACACTAGTTATTCATAGGTACAACACTCACACGAAAAAAAACTAGGAGAAGGGCTGATTATCATTCATAACTGGTTTCTTTAAAAACCAGTTACATAGTTTACCCATAAGGAGCTCAGATGCACATGTAATTTTTAAATTAGGCTTGATCTCATCCTAAGTAAACATATTTCTGATGAAGTCATGATTCCCTGGAAGCATTTCTCAATACAATTATTGACTGAAATCTTGAATCCCCATATAGATACTGCTAACAATGTGAAAATCCCAGCTCCACCATCGCAAAAGAAAAGAAGACCTTTTCAAAGAAGGATGAAAGGAGTTGCTCAAACAGGTGCTTTTTATTTCAGTATCAATACAGTGTTATACATGAATGCCTTGGTGTTTATGTATTTTATGGTTTCAGATGTGCCTGTAAATTCATTCCAAATGTAACTGTTTGCATTTAATGCAACATCATGTCTCTTTCACTTATTTAATACTACCAGAAAGGTTACAAAGTTGATGTGAAAAATCATTTGTCAGTCAAGAAAAATTTCTTTCCTCTTTGAACCTTATCATGTAAAATTGGACCAAAAACTAGTTTTGTCGATTAATATTGCTTTAAAATTGTTCATGGTGTTGGTACATTTCTACGGCTCCTTTTTCTATGCATTTAATACCTGATGGAACTTCGTCGATGGAACACCAAATTGGATCATAATCATGGACCTTCCTTATTTGACTTTACCTCCTTCAAGGTCTGTCAGGAGGTTATTGATAAAATACTTCCCAATGACTTGTGGTTAAAGATATGTAAAACATTGCCAAAATATATCAGCAATTTTATAGAAGAGGCAATGGAAACCACTTGATTTAATGTAAACTTCCTAAGATAAAAAAGAGATTAAAACAGTTGAAACAAAAGCTCGGAAATGAATTACAAGCAAAGTGACCGAAACCAACACATAGTTACTGAGCCAAAACCAGATCGTGATGTGATTTACTGGATCACATTCTTTCAAAGTGTAATTTATTTTGATTCACTTTTGCAAGGATAGTTTTCGCATGTTCGCACCTGTTGGGGAAGTTTCTTCATCAAGAAGAGATAGCAAACTTTGTAAGCTTGCAAAACAAATATCTTAGTAACCCATTTGGATGTGTGTCTAGTGTGTCACTCCTGTTTCTCCCCACAAATTCTTGATTACTGAGGTTTTGATAAGTTGAATCCTAGATTCTGTGCAGTGTATTGAGGATTGTTACGCTGCGTGATAACTAAAATTCAGAGACTGAGTATTTCTATTTCATGACTTTGTGTGGTAGGAGAAGATAAAGGTTTAAAAAGGGGTCATTTTGTTTGCTGTAGGCTTGATTATTGCAGGATAAAGTCACATTCCTATAGATACATGTTATGTTAAGTCATATCCATTATTGTGCATCTTCATTCAAGTGAGCCACCACTACATTATTGAAAGCCACTCGCCTCTTTCTGTCCTTTATATCCATTCATATACCTCTTTACAACTTTTTCTAAAGTTCCTAGTTATTTTAGGTGAAACTTCGGAGGGTGAAGAAAAAAAAGAATTTCATCCGTTGCACCTAGCTTCACTGAATGGCAGCATCACTGAAATGGAGGCTCTACTCTCTCTTGGATGTCCTGTTGACATAAGAGATAGCACAGGAAGAACACCACTAATGATCAGTGCATTCTATGACAAGATACATGCTGTCAGCTACTTACTAGAAAAGGGAGCAGATCCCTCTCTAGTCGATTGTGACGGATGGAATGCATTACATTTTTCTTCAAAGGGTTGCAACCTTGACATCATAAACCTCATTCTGAATTATATGCCTGATATTGAATCAAAGGATTGGAAAGGATGGACTCCACTAATGATCGCTGTTTCCGCTTCCTATGGAAAGCCTCAGATTGCAAGGTACCTTATTGAAAATGGCTCTGATCCTTCTCAAGAAGATCCTTCTGGATGGAATTCGTTACATTGTGCCTCACAGGGTGGGTGCCCGGATGTAATTGAGCTGCTTCTTCACTATGTGCCTGATATCGAAGCTCGAACTGCTAACGGTTGGACGCCCTTAATGAATGCTGCTGGTAATGGTAAACTAGAGGCGGCAAAGTATTTGCTTGCAAAGGGAGCAAATCCAACAGCAGAGGATGACAATGGGTGCAATGCATTACATTTTGCGTCATGGAGGGGTGACCCTCATATCATTGAGCTTATTTTTAGCCACATGCCTGATATTGATGCCACAAATTCTGATGGCTGGACACCTCTAATGGTCGCCGCATGCAATGGTAAGCTAGAGGCAGTCAGGTGCCTAATTAAAAATGGAGCAGATGCTTCGCTAGAGAATGATGAGCGATGGAATTCATTTCAATGTGCAGTGAAGGGTGGTAACCCTCAAATCATCGAAATCATCCTGAGTTACCTTTCTGAGACCTGTCACATGCCTGATGTTGACTCAAGATGTGTGGATGGCAGAACGCCTCTGATGATTGCCATTTCGTGTGGCAAGCTACAGGCTGTAAAATACCTTCTTGAAATGGGAGCAGATCCATTATTAGAGGATAACGATAAATGTAATTCTTTGCATCATGCCTCAAAATGTGACCCAGGAATCATGAAGCTACTGCTGAGTCATGTGAGCAAAAGTGAGTCAATCAACTACTAAGAGTTTGGTGTTTGTCGATTAGATCAATCAATCTCAGGTGCTCAATTAAAGCTGCTGATTAAATGGTACACATCACTTGTCCTTAAGCTGTTTATTCTTGCCATATCAGCAAGAAGTTAATGGAAATGATTCATTCAGTGCATTACACGCTTGAGGGTCATGTCCTGAATAAATCCAATGTCTGAAAGAAAATAAAAAGTGGCATCGATTTTAATGTAATTGTTGTTATATAGTGGAGGCAACTGTCACATTTTGGGTTGTGGTTCTCTCCAGGACAAGATGCACCTTCACGAGTCTCAAATGAAAGAAACAAAGAAGAACAAAACAAAAACAAAGCTTCAGTGACAGGTAAAATTAAAGAGCTTTCTATTCATGCATAACACTCTGGTCATGTTAACCAGTGTAGAAAGGCGTTCCAAGGCATTCCTACTACTCGTCGTCTATCAAGTCATTTCATATTGCCGTACACAGGGGTTAACGGAAATGCTGTTCATGCAGTCCACGCAGTGAATACAGAATCAAAGGAAAGCGTATATGACAATATGGTTTCATGAAAGGTGTAAATCATCCAATCAATTGATTAACCGCTTGAATAGTCCTAATCATTATGGCCTCCAATTACCCTCACACGTAAGCTCTCCGTCCAAGAATTAAGAGCAAACTTTTTTCAAGACCATGTGAGAGGTGGCACATCGACCGTAAAATGACTATCCTAATATTTCAGTTGGAGATGCCTCATATAAAACTTAGAAATGTGGTAAGATTTTTTTCCAAATTTGCTTCTTTATCCTAGAAAATTCACGAAAACTGAAATGAGCGTCCGTAGCCATAAAACAGGCGCAAATCAGTGCCCCGAGTAGAGGCGTATGAACTTTGCTCATGAAAAGCGCAAAAGAAAGCAAGCTCATATCAATTTGACTAATTTGTATTGAGGCATAGCTTAAGTCTAAAACGGGACCGTTTCATTTAATTTTGAAATCACGGAACTCTTTCAAAAATCACGAATATGGCAAAATCCAAATAGCGCATTTAATTTTGTCGCAAATTTTCAATTATCATTATCAACATATGGTATAACTCAGAATCGGTTGAGATTAAGCTCATGATGAGTGGAAATAGTGTTGTTTTCGAGGATATGAAAATTAATCTGGGCCTTTTAATTTCCGCACGGAAAAACCAGGCTGAACTTTGTGAAAATCGTAACATCTTCATTTACATTACCACATATTCTAATTAGGCACCCCGTAGTTAAATGTGGAATTCCAAGCACATTTTAGAAGCTAGCACCGTGGTCGATCAGGAAATGAATACAATAGGCCAGCCTTGCATAGGCAGATTGGTTTATGCGTGGCTTTCACTAAATGTGTAACTACATTATGGCATAATGTGATTTATTTATTTATTATTTATTTTTGTGTCCACGAGAGTCAAGTGCCCGTCACGTGGTCTAGTGTCGTAAGGTGCACTAGTCTGAGTCAGTCATCTTTATTATAAGCGTGGTCTCGATTAATTTTTATCTGGTGATCGTATCGCGAGTTAGTGCTCCTCCAACACAAACCAACCCACTCAGACCCGGCTTGTGTTAGAACTGCAGCTTGTAAAAGAGCTTTTACGCTCTTAAAAGATAACATTTAACTGCTGGAATCTGGTAAAGTGACATATTAGTACTGGAGTGATGTAGTTATTAACTTCGTACTTTGAATCACAGAGATTGGGTAGCATACTTGATCTCCTCTGCTTATAGGTGAGACACATGTAATTAAAGTCTTAAATTAAAGTAAGGATTTTATATTATTTCCGTTATGGATGTCCAATATAGCAAAACCATGTCAATTGGTCTAATTAAAGCAGTTTGTGAATCGTTTCATTGGTAGAAATGTTTTTTACTTTCAAATTATCAGATGATAATTGATAATTAGTTTGTTGTTCTGTTCATTTTGTTTATATCCAGAGAAAGTTGAGTGCAGGTCAAATGAAACAGAAGGAACACACAAGAAGAAGAGTTTGACAGTTTTGACAGCATCAGGTAAATTTTCTACAAATCCTTGAGCAATAAATAATGTCTGCTGAGAAGGATACAGGTCTAAAACAATTCATGAGAGGAAAGTGTTGTGNCAAACAATTTTAAGTAGGAAAGTGAAGGGGGGATCGGAGGGGGCATGTGAGTGTGATATCTTTAATTTTATATGTTGTTCCATCAAATGTTCCCTGGGAATATTGTTGGCTTCCCATGCATGTTTGTGACTGGGTGCATGCACAAGTTTTATTTTCATTGCGTGCTGATTCAGACAATTCAGATAAAAGAGCAGAACAAACAGACAAGGAAGAAAGAATTGCATGCAGGCAATAAATATATGTTCAAATGTTGATGCGTTCTTTCTTAAGCTATAAAAAGAATTGTAATATGTGACTGCTTTCCATAATTTGTTTTTATTTATTCCAGGGACTTCAGATAAGAGGAAAGAAAAAATAGATGGGAGCAACGAAGGTGTGGAATCAGCAGGTACCTCAGAGTTAACCAACTTGTTTTGTTTCGGTGTTCTTGAAAATATTTTAAATATGGCCTAAGTACTGTACATGCACATTTCATTTTCAATGTCTACAGCCCAATTAGTCTCTTGAAGTGTAATAGGAGAACAAAAATCTGAGGGGTATAAGATAGGACAAAATGAATCAGCTGGTATAACAGTAAAACCTCAATTATTCAGACTTGTTGGGAAATTGCTTACTAATAGAACAATAAAAAGTATGAATATAAATTACTACGCTAAAAGAAGCTTCTCAAACAGGTTCCACTACGATCAGTGACAAAGAAGCTCTCAAAGATAAGGGTGGACAGTATTCTAATACAGGTGTGCCTTAAAGTGGTGCTATATAGAAAATCCAAAACACGTTGTGATGGTTATTCATGTAAGGTTATACAATTATAATTGACCCTTGGCAGGTCTACAGAATAACTCTGGCATTTAGATTGGCCTTTAATTGAGATTGACATAATTGACATTTGAGGGGCACTGTAGGGTCAATGAAAAACACAATGCTTGCGCTCTTTTTTTCTGATTCTTCCATTGTTCTTCCAAGGTGGTCAAGTCCTAGTTGCCTTAAGATATTATTTGAATCTGCGTTGATCTTAATGCTTGTCGGTTTAACAATTACCTATGGTTTTACTAGTCATAGAGGGTCTTGTGCTCTGCTAGGATCAGCAAAGTGAAAAGTGTTGCATGTGCGATAGAGTGAGAAAGTTGTGATAAAACCATGATCATCATGCTTTCTTTAACTGGTAATGGATTAAAATTCCTATAAGCTTGATTCTATTGACATGTAATCTTCAACAGCATTATTAACCATGTAGAATGCATGTGTATAATTTTCCATATTGTTTCTAGCTATCTATTTTCTGTGTTACTGACAACTTGAAGACAAATTTGTATAACAATTATGAGTCTCCTTAGCTGGCAGTCGTTTCCTTTACTCTTGTGACCTAATAATCTTTGATTCATTGCTGACACTGTTAAAGGAGGAATTAAATGGACAGCAAGTCACTTGGAGGGATTAAAGGGTTAGAACAAAACCAAACTATTATAACCCCAAGAGTGGAATAGTGAAGTATAAAGTTCGTCTTGATTGGTGCAAA